ATTAGGGCAGATGTATGTCTGGGATGGAGCTGGAGTTTATTTGGAGCTGCCCGCGCGTCTCTAATCTTGAAGTGGTTTCAGGAGGAACACTATGTGCCTGCTTGGGAAGCGAGTCAGATCTCCAAATAGATGACTAATGAAGTAAGGCCAGGCTGGAGATGGCTTTTTATCAGATTCGCACGGCCGGCCCGGCGGAGGAATCTTCCCCCTGACGAGCAAAGTGCCCTTTATTCCTGACGCGTTTCAGTGTCCCCGTGCCGAGCGGGGAGCTGCGGCTCTGCTGGGAAGCCCGGGTGGCAGAGACGGCTCTGGGATTTGTTTGGGAATCCAGGTTGCAGCTTGTGCCCCGGCAAACCGCGGCTCCTGCGGCTCCCTCCTGACGGCTGCTGTTAGAGGGGCCACGGGCCCTCATTCCATGACAGCTGTGGTGCGCGCCCAAAGGCACTGCGAGCAGTCGGGAAGGGAACCCTGGAGCCGCCTGGGTGCCCTTGGATCTGCTGCACTTGGGAGCAGCCCCGGCCTCTCATGCCGCCTTCCTTTCCCAGAGCCTCCAGAGGCTGAGGAGGAGCCGCTTTTTCTCTTGTGTCCTGCGTATCCTGGCTTTCCTGGCCCCTCCATACAGAGGAGCAAAGCCGATTTTTCCTAGCTTGAAGAATAAGGTGGGATTCCAACTCCCTTCTCCATGTTAAACCCTTATCCAGAGCAGTGGGGTTTTGGTGCACGAACCTCCCCGTGAGTGTCGGGACGCGTCGCCTCCCGGCCCCCCGTCGCTCCGCAGCCGCCTCTGCCGCCGGCGCCAGCTCTGTTGTTTTTCCTCTCCCGCCGCCTCCCGCTCGCGTCCAAGAGAGATCTGCAAAAATTACGTTTCCATTTGGAGCTGGAAAGTTCCTGGTATGCTGATTTCTAGGAAATGTGGCCGGGGCTGCTTGCCGAGCGGGTTTGGTGAAACTCGAGCATGTGCGATACCTGCGTGTCCTCGCGGCGGGTCGCGCAGCTGCAGCCCCCGCGCCTCGCCGGGAGCAGCAGCCGCGCTGCGCGCAGCCTGGACARCCCAAGCGCTCCTCGGAACGAGGCCGAGCGGAGCCTGCATCTGTACCGCGGAGCCTGCGTTTTCCTAGAATTGTGTTTTCTAGGATGGGGTTTTGTTTGGAAAGCACAAGCGGAGAAGGAAAAGGGGGGGAAAAAATTACTCCCCAAACCCCATGGCTTGAAAAGCTCCCATTCTATTTCGAGCCGCCTGTTTGTTCCATGAGCGCCGCGGTGCCGCACTTGGCAGGGGCTGCGACGGCCTCCAAAGAGGCCAAGCTCCGGCCACGGCACAGGCTGAGGAGAGGCCCTGGGAGTCCCGGGCGGCTCGCGCGGCACCGGCTCCTCTGGGATTTTCCATCAGCCGATGCGGGAGCGCGGAGCTTGGAGGAGCCGGGAGCTGCTGTCAGCGCGGGATGAGCCGGGGGGATTCCTGGCGGCAGGAAACGTGCCCTGGGCCGGCGGCTTCCCTGCTCGCTCGCGCTAACGGCCCGGTGCTCCTGGGGGACCGAACTGGTCGTTACTGCTTTATTGCTTTATTTTTAATTTTTTTATCCAGGTTGTGCTTTTGAGCAAATCTAGGATTTTATTTTTACCTAGCGACACTCAAAGCGAGCCAGATTCCGGAGCCTTGCCTCTGACTTCGGATTTGCTGTGGAATTTGCATTAAATCTGTGTCTCGCGTGCGCATCCGGAGCGGCCTCGCAGGCCCCCTTGCCTGCTCCCCTCAGCTAGGGGTTGTTAAAGGTATTTCAAATTAATTAAGGTTTAAGTAGTTGCACTTGAAGGAAAAATTCTGCCCAGATGTCGAAGCCTATAGATTTTTGCCTGCATTTTAAGACTTGTTTATTAGCACTGCTAAATTGCAGATTAAACAGTTGCGCTGAATTTGTGGATCATCTGGAGAGCGGGGACTAATGGAAAACAAACAAATAGTAATAARAGAAAATGTCGCTTTCTTTAGGAACCCACAGAAATGGTACGTTTTTGCACCGTAGCGAACAGGACACGTGGTCTGTGCGGCCTGAGCACTGGCAGGGGCCAAGGAGGGCTCTGCAGTTTGCCTGTCACCTTCCTTTTTCCTTCCCCATCCGAATTCCGCGCTCCCGTCTCGTGGAAGCTTGTGGAGCGGCTGGGACCGGATCCCGGGTTCCACTTGCAGCCTCTCCCGGGCACTCCGGAGCACGCGGGACCCTCCGGAGGCGCCAGAGAGGGATGCGTTTGGGTAAGTCCGTCGGGAATGCCGGGATATGTTGGCTTTGGACAATTCCCCTCGTTTGGCCTGAGAATGCTCCACAGTGGGGAGCTTCAGGCATGTGACACCCYCGGTGTCACCGAAGCCCCTCGCGCGTCCCCGCCTGCCTGTGCCGGGGGACGGGATTTAAATCCCGGGGAGCAGCCACTTTCCTGCAACCGATTGCTCCAAATCAGTCGGCATCRGGGAGCCTGGCCAGCCCTCCCCGCTCCACGGGGCCGCTCCGAGCTGCAGCAACCACAATATTCCTTAAATGCAGTTGGGGACGTTCTGTTTTTTTGCGAGCTGCAGGTTCCCGAGCTCTTTCATAACGTGGACCACATCTTAATAGCCGGTCTCGCGGGCTCCATCCCTCCCACTGCTCGTGACGCAGGCGCCCTCCCCTCCCACTCGCCTTGGACGGCTTCCCTGGGTGACTACAGTAATTGCTTACGTACAGAAATAATAAGGAGGATGCGTGGAAGGTATTTTTAGATGTCTCTTGGTGTGATTTAGCAATGGGGAGCCAGCACAGGCTGCTCCTGCGTCGCGGCGGTGGCCATCCTGCGGACCCTGGGAGCGTCTGGCTCCGAGGCTGATCCCGCATCTCCAAGCGAGCCCCTCGGCCAATGTGTTTTGCAGAGGCGCTGTGCAATGGGGCGGCCGTCGCACGGGCCGGCGTTCCCGCCGCTCCGCTCGCCCGCGGGAGCCGGGCACGGGCGCGTGGCCGCGCTCGCCGGCCGTGGGAAGCAGCCCCCTGCGCACCTGCATCCCGTCCCGTGTCCCACCGCGTTTTCCACCGCTGCTCCCTCTCGCAGGAGCTGCACACGTGGCCGCGGGGGCTCCCCCGCATGATGCTGTTCTCCTCGTTAGGGCATTTTGGGTGTTGCCAAACGGGGGGAGATGCCCTGGCATCATTCGGTGCCACCGTGAGCCCTGAGCCCTGCACGCGGCTCCGGCGGCTCCGGCCACGCGGAGCCCTTTGTGTCTGGCCGGTTTCCTGTGTTTGGGGCAGACTCCGATTCAGCCCTTCCCCTCCGACGCTGGGCACACAAGTGTCCTCGTGCTCTTACAGCAACGACTTCTCTGCCTTAAAAGCTGAAAACCCCCTTCCTTTTCTGTTTCTGACGCCCCAAATGAATGATTTCTCCCGCTGGTCGGCATCAGCCTCCACAACGAAGCCTGCGGGAAAGTTTTGCAATTCTAGTGACTTAAGTGGATCTGTTTCACGTCGGAAAAGAAACACTGCTTTCTAATTCTGTGTCACGCGGTTCCCTGCTTACGCGGGACCACCAAAACCGAGCCCTGCAACCTGGAAAACTGTCAGGAAAAAGGTATTTTGAAACTCCAGGCTCTTCTGTAATGGGGCAGCGTTTCCGCGCCTCTGYCTTTGACGGGAGAGTGGCCCTTTCAGCGCGCCCGAGGGACAAGGACAAGCTCCTCGCACAAGGAGCTTCCAGTTGCGGCCTTAACTTTACGCGTGCGTTCTGTCTTCCAGCTTGATGAAACTTTCCTGTTAAAAATAAATGCAAAAGAAAAAAACAAAACAGAAAMCCCGCCCAAGCTGCCAAACCTTTCTGATGTCCTGGTGGTGTTWGGGTTGGCCAGTTCCCCCGTGCCCACTCCCTGGCCCTCCGTGTCCCGTCCCGTGCCGCCGCCGCCAGCCCTTCTCTGCCCTGCAGTGGGGCCTCTGCGCAGCCGATCACTCCAAGCACCGTTTCTTACGGCCTTTCTGTGAAATTTCGTTTTATCTGCTCAAACAGCTGGCATTCTCCTGCCATTGCTGTTTTTTTTTGCCTTTTTTTTTTTTTTTT